TATTATATAAAATTTTAATGCCAGAGACGTCCGTCGCTCGTTTGGGTTTCGATTTGGAGGGCCGCCTATTAAAAATGTTTTGCACTATTTTTTTTGTGTTCAGAAAAGAGTCGTTCAACGTGTTTGCTCCCCCCGAAACGATCGAAAGTGTCTCCACCGACCATAAAATGTTAATGGGGGTCTGCGTCTGGGTCTGGGTGTGTGCCTGTCACTGGGGGGGGGGGTTCTGTTGTCTGTCGGTTGTCTGACAATCAGCTGTTATGTACACACGATCATGATTCAAAAGGTAAACCTTTTGTTTATTTCGAACCGATTCATACCAGTTTCGGAAGTTCTGAGTTGTTATAGGGGTACGGGTGACTTGTATCGCCCCCTCCCATCTGATTAATTTGTTGTGGAATATTTCCAATGCTTATGCTGGCGGTACAGCATCGCCTCATGCCAAAGAGTTGTGTGCGGGTCTGCGCTGTCTCTTATGACATCATTTGCATAGTGCCCTGTCCGTAGGGGCTACAACCGCCTCAATTGTCTTCTGACTCGACACTTTCATTCATTGATTTGTTTATGCAATAATTGATTGTGTGCTGTTTTATTTTTGTTTGAGTCTGCGGCTTTCTTTCTGTTTCTAGCGAATTAAATTTCAAGGCTTGGGAGGAGAATCGAATCGGATATTCAAGTGTGTGCTTGTCGTTGTCGTTGGGTCAATGGAACTTTGGGTGGAAAGTTTTCTCGAACTGATCGGAGAATTTCAGGATAGAATTACAAAGGTTTGTTCACCGGGATTTTCTGGGAAATTTTAAGTTTTTCCAGATGTTACGATATGTATTTCCGGATTATGTAATAATAGCTTAATAGCTAAATTTTCCTTGAAGTGTTTTTTACTTTTTATATCGAAAATCTCATATGTATATTCTTCTAATGTACTTTTAATTGAACTTGAGTTTTATCTTCCTTGGAACATATGAGAGCACTAATCAACCTGAGGGTAAAGAACCCAACAGATGGTAACCCCTTCAATTGTTGCTAATTATTGGAACAATGTTTGCGGGGAATACCCCTCTCCCAGTGGGTGATTTGTCTAGAGAAATGATATTTAGGTGCTTCTATAGACCGAAAGAATCTGAAGAACAACGAGGAGAACTGCTGACGCCATTTGTCGAGCAATGCGAGCATATTTACGAATATTGTACGTTGCTGTATGGCTGATTGTACGAGTCTTGAATGCGAATGCCACGAATGCCTCGAACGGGGCTCGTAATTGGTTACAACTGACACAAACCAGTCTGGTTCGGATGGGCCAACACACAACTCAGCGATGACTTTGACCAGAAACAGAGAGAAGCAAGAGAGCGAACGAGAGCCATGTAGAGAAAGGGGTAGGCAGGGAGAGCTTTATCAATGTCCTCTTATCAGTGGGAGCGATCTTTTATGGGCGGATTTCTCATTGTTGCCAACGCTTTGCCATGGAGAACTTTGTTCCGGTTAAGGGTTTATGGGGTGTATGCTATGCTATATCTAATCTAAGCGTAATTCCGACCAATTGTGTTATTTCGGCATTATGTTGTCCATGGAAACAGTTGACTGCTGGATCTTGCTCTGCGGAATTATACAGAGCCGTAAGCCTTGTGGATCTTATATTCTGCGAAGTAGACGGTCCATGGCATGGACATATGTATGTGGATTGCAAAGATTTTCTGTAGATAATATTTTTTTCTTTATAAGATAGACCCGCATTTGAATCGCATTTAAATTCCATCTGGCAGGCGTCTGCGTGCGCGTCTCTCCCTCTGCTCAATCATATTTCCCCTTCTAATAATAGTATTTGTCGCTTTCAGTTATGTTTCGATTACGCCTTAATTGATGCTAACAGTTCTGTATGCATTCATATCTATTTATAATGAATAATAATTCCCCTGCAAGCGAACACACAAAAGAAATTGTGTCATAAAAGATTAATCAGCAAACATTTGAATCAATTGAGAAATTGGATCTGTTATTTCTTATCTGTGGGGAGAGTCACCCCACAATTACCAAGGAAAACAGACATGCATGTGCATGTCCCATAATTGCGTAGAGAAGAGAGTGGGAGTTGAAACAAAGACAGAGCGAGAGCAGGGTTGATGGATGAGAGTGAAAGGGATAACATTTGTTCTACTCCAATGAGAGAGCGTAGCATTTACATTTGTTCTTTTGCAATGTGAGAGAGAGAGTCGTTGGTTCTTCTTTAATGAGAGAGCGCTTTACTACCATTTACAGTTACAGTTACAGAGAACAGGCAGCGTGGGTCGCTGCTGCTGATTCTGCTGGCACACGCGAAAGCGTTTAAAACCGCACACATTCGTTGAACTTGAAGTCAAACCGTTTTCAATTGTCGTCACGCGAGCGCAGCAGCAAGATCAAGCGTGCAGGAACAGCTGTTCCCGAGAGAGGGAGAGAAATAGTTGTTTTTGTTACTTTTGCTCTCGCAAGCTTTCGCCTCGCGACAGGAACCGCCGCCACATCGGCAGAAACAGCTGCAATTTCAATGGAAAATTAACCAAAAATACACCTAAAAAATCGACGCAAAATGTGATTGTTCATAATAGATACTAAAATACGAGTATTATACTATAATTAGTAAGTTCAATCTTTGATTACTATTATTATAAAAAAACCATTTTCGAAATATTTCGCAAGTTTGTGTGAAAATAAAGCAGCGGCAGACCGCAACAAAAATATATTTGTGGGTCGAATTTAAAGATTTCTGTGAATTTCGAAGATTTCGAGTGCTAAAAAAAGATAAATCGCGATTCAAGGACCCAAAATGATAGTTCCTGAAAGTATTTTTGGACAGAAAATAAGTGAAAAGGTGTTAAAAGTGATTCTTAAAATATAACATTTATAAGAGAAGCAAGAAAGTTCCACAGATTTCCTCCTTTGTTTGCTTTGTTTGACTCCAAAATATATTTTTTAAGCAAAAATCTATCTTAACCTACCATCCAAATCGCCTAACACCTTTGCATAAGCATAATCCATGCGTTATTTTTATTGATTCTTTTAATTATTACACATCCAAAGATGGTCGAAAATCTCGCCTTTTTTTTAATTAACGCCTTTTGGATTTATGTGCATTTTTGTTGTTGTTTCTTCAAGTAGGTGTAAAATTTAGATAGGGAGTGTAAATACAATTAATGCCGGATCAGCCAAAAGCCAAATATTAATCATCTACTCGTAGTTCGATGAAAATCCCCTCCAGCACAAGCTTCGGATAGCATGTAGCATGAGTAATATGGCGATTGCATCGAGAATTTCCCTAGAAATTGGATACAATAAAAGAGTTGGCCAGCTAGGGCTTTTCTTTGTTCTTTTGTTGTCTCTCGAACACAAAGGAAAATGCAAGGCTAATGTTTATATACATACATATGTATGTATTTCCCCACAGTTGATCCATTAAGTATCAATAAGTACAGTTGCCACAGAAAAGAGCGAAGCACGTGTTTGCTTTTTTGCTTTTTTAAGGGGGGGGGGAAAGAGTGATATGGCATTGACTTTTGGAACCACTACGCACTACTCGTAGTCATGATCGTATTCGTATTCGTTCAAGTACCACTCCCTCGTTAGCACATTCCCCCCTAAGCACAGACCCCAAAATATGTCCCCTATGTCTGCTGCTGCTGCTACTTGAGTATGTCGCGACTTCGATGTCTGCTGCCTTTTGGCCATTATCTAATCGCTGCAGTACTTACGAGTAGTAGGTTTTCCTTCCCTCTTTTTGTTGCCATACCAAACTTTATTGGATTATAATTGCATTAAGTCATTAGCTCAGAGCTTTGATTTCTGATTATGTGCACGTTATTTATGTCTTATTGTGTTTTAACTACCAGTGTTTGAAGTGTCCAATAGATTTGCTCGATTTTTATTGAGAAAAAGTTTATTTACACAGAGCGCTTTCGCTTAGTTATTGTATGCGAAATCCCTATATCTTTATGCAGCTTTAATCTCTTTTTCATTTGCATCCTAAAAGAGGATTTCTTCTTATTGAAATTTTTAGATAACAAAATGTTTAAAAATATTCACCTAGGCCCAAGACGCATTCTCTCACCCCAAAACAAAGTGTTCTGTCTATCTTTAGACTCTAACTACATTAACATGGTTTATTTACCCCTTACTTAAGGCAGTAGCTTTTGTGGTTTTGTGACTGCCAATTTGTCATCTTTTTCGGTGGCGCCTGCTGCCCCATATAACCGCATTTAAACAACAACAGACAGCAAAAAAGAAAGCGACCTCAAAAAAAAAAGAGATCAAAAATCTCCAAATAAAAAAGAGAGCAACAATTAATACATATTACAAAATGGCCAGCTAATGCAAAGTTTAGTATAAGCAATTAGCAAAATAATAAGGCTATGAATCAGCCCAGGAAATTCCCCGGTTGAAAGATATATTCCCGTAAGATAATATATATGTATGTTGTATCTTCTTATTTGGTACAAAAATTGCTTAATCTTTAAGCTTCAAACTAACGCCAAAAATCGAACAAAAGATAGACCGCAAGAAAGATAAAACGTAACTTATTTATAGGGCAGCTAAATAAAAGAGACTCATCGATTTGTACTTTGAATTTGTTTAAAAAATTAGCAGGGCAATTTCCTTCAAGGCATGCGCATATCGCATATCGTATCGAGAGAGATTCAAGAGATTTGGAGATCACAAGGGTTCGCTGGGAGTATCCCCCAGTATCAGGGGATATGGGGATGTAAATCAAATCGAAATCGTATCGAATCCAATCAAGTATACGCCTCACCTTGCCTCTGCCATGCGGTGTTGTGTGTGGTGCTCGTAAAAATCACGACTCGAGTTTGCTTTTTCACAGCTTTTGAATTTAATTATTAACCGTGTCTTGTCAGCGCAGTACCCCCTCAGCCCCTTCACTGGCTGTTGAACGCTCTCTGAGAGTGTCCGAGAACAGCTGTTTGGCATTTTTTAATAAACAATCGTTGGCATTTGGCAGCTCAGTCTGTGAGGAGCATTCGGTGGATACACAACGCACCATCGCACATACTACAACTCTTTAGATTATACCGTCGGCCGCCGACAAACGGGCCTAAGCGGGCGCCTCACATAATTCGGCAAAAAGTTAACAGAAACAACAAAAAAAAAAAGCGAAAACTATAAAAAATAGACTATACCCATACGGTTGTGAGTGTTTTGTGTGTGTTATCCGGGACAAACAAATAACTGAATCCATTTCGGAAATAGCAGAACAAACATCAGACATTTTCATCAGTTCTTTGATTGGCTTTTTTGAGGCGCGTGTGCCGTGCGTTCCTTGAACTTTTGTTAGATATATAATATATAGAGCATCTCTAAAGATATATGTGAATTGTATCTGGAAGATAAACATCAAGTGGCTGACAGGACAGGGGATATTCTCTTGTTTCTACGCTGCAAGAATTTTGTTTTCGAATTAAACAACATTCATTTTTTGGCTGCTTCGCTTTGTTCGCATCGTTCGTAAACAACAACATTTCAACATTTTCCGAGTTGGAAAACCGAAATTTCACATCACAACCAACGGCAGAGAAGAGTTTTCCCGTGAACATTGAGGTAATTAAAGATGTGTGATTTCAATGGGGAAGGAAACATTAATTATGAATCATCTTTTAACGTTTTCGCTAAGTCTTTTAAAACTTTAGATTAAGTGCATCCTTTGGGCAATAAAAAGACTCGTTAAGTGATAAGTTATGGATAATCTTTGTATAATTTTTATCTTAAAAGTTTACTCAAGACTTTGTCTGGGGTCTACTTTGTGTTTTGGCGTTTTCTAAATGCAGATGATTGTGAAAAAATGTGCTACTAATTGTAAAACTGAAACAAAGTTGGAGGAAATTTTCATATCCGTTTTTCTGCATAAATGTTGTTTAATTAATATAATATTCTAAGAAGTTTACTTCAATGGCTGTAAAGCAATTTGGTTATGCGATTGAAGCCTTGAACATTTCAACATTAAACGAGATTTTGTTTGTGTAATCAGTTGAAACCTTGGAAATGTTTTCATTTTTTAACAAAAACAACAGAATGTTGTTTCAGTTCTTGGGAGAGAACTCCACCAAATGGCGGGGGGGCTACGAATGGAAGGGAGCTTCAAATGGAGGGGAGCCACCAGAATGGCAAACCAGTTGCATTTAACCGAAAAATCTATGCTTGAAAGCTTTCGAAAATTTATTTTATTTATTTATTTATTTTAGGTGTGAAAACAAATCTGAAACAAAAGCAAAAGCAAAAACAAAAACAAAAGCCATGCGAGCCAAAACGAATGGGTAAAAAATTACAATTTTATTCCTAGAAAAAAAAGAATTTGTGATTCCATTACCATTTCCATCGACACGTGCTCCGCTCGCTATTGAAACTCGATTGTTGCCTACTTGACAACAGTCTTCCAGATTTGTCGCCGCCCCCCTACAGAACAGTCTCTGCCATTAGTCAGCGATCTACTATAGTTTTTTTTAGTGGTTTTTGTGTGTGCTTTTTTTGTTTTATCTAAACGAGCGTCTATATAAATATTTGTGCCTAGTGATAAGCCAGCCAGCCAGTCGACTGTTTGCTGAGTTGTAATTTGAAATGTGACCTTAATTTCAGTCTGTGCCACACGCTTGTTTGCCCCCACATCTGATGATCGGATATGTGTTATCATTTGGGTTTTATCTTTGGGATTTGCATACGGTAGTCATTGATTAACCCAATCACACAAAGATTAGTCCTAATCGTTCGGCCCATATGTTTTGTACGTAACGAGTGGGAAATACGTTACCCCAATTGTTTTCCCCAATTGTTTTTGCCGCTAATGTGACGATTGATGTGTTAAATAAAACTATTTATTTGTGGATGACATTTCTATTGCCATTTCAGAGCAATTAGCGAGAGACAACGTGGGCTCCATAACAGGAAAACAAAAGTTGTTGAGTCTGATAAGGGGTTATTAGATCATTGTTCCTTGGAATTGCAATGATTTTTCATCTTCATTCTTTCATTCTATTCAGTTCAGAGATTTTCTTCTTCTGTTTTAATTTTTTCTAAGATTTCTCTTGGTTTTTCATGAAAAATAACTTTTCTCATAATTGATTTTCCATGAAATGTTTATATATAGAAAAGTGTAAGGAATGAAATTTATTCTCTGGGTTCTCCTTTTACTTGTTCCTAGAAATAAACTTTAGGATACCAAATGCGATTTCTTTCATTCATAATTAAGTTTATATTTTTATTTTATTTGTAGAAATTTAATTTATTTCTTTGTCTGCTAAAATGCTGCTTATTTTTCAGCAATTATCTTATCTAAATGCATCCCCAAATAAACAAAATAACATTTATCTGTATGTTAAATATATCTAAATGATATGGCCGTTCAATGACCTTGATTTATGATGTCTAAATATTATATATTTTCCGTTTCTTCAGACAAAGCCAAAGGAACAAATGTGATTTGTGATAGAAAACCAATGTGAAGACCGTTGGCATTTCCCTACCCACAAGAAACAACAACAGCGTCACAACAACAACGTCACACACTCAGACGCCATCCACAGAGTACAAATTAAAGCCCAAGACACAAATCTAAACTTTTGGATTTGCCATTTAATTAAATTTCAACATGGATTTCGATCAGATTCTGGCCAAATGTGGCGATTTCAATCGCTATCAATTCATGATTCTTGCCCTTTTTGGCTTTATCAATATCATCGTATCGATGGTAAGTAATTCTTTATCCTTTCAAATTAAAATTTCTAATAATATTTTGATCTGTTTTCCAGCATTACTTTACCCAGACAGTCATTAGTTTTGTGCCAGATCATTGGTGCTATCACGATAAGTTGGTGAATATGACCTACAAGGAGATTGCTGGGATCTATGCGCAGTTTGAGGAGGAAGCCTCGTGCACACGCTTGGACGATATCAATGGCCACAATGTCACCGTCAGCAAGGAAAAGTGCGACAAATGGATCTATAACTATGATTTTGGTTATAGATCAATGAATACAGAGGTGAGGCTGCAAGAAAGGGGACTTTGGGTGAACTTTACTTCAAATAAACCAATCTTAAATCAACCCTAGATATCTTTAGGGGAAAACATCCCATACTAACGTATCTTTTCTTCTCTTCTTCGCCCATAGTTAAATTGGGTTTGTGATTCCGCCTACAAGGCTCGCATTGGACAGTCGCTGTTCTTCATTGGCTCTGTCGTGGGAACTCTCTTCTATGGCCTGCTCTCCGACAAAATAGGTCGCGTGCCAGCGCTGATTCTCTCAAATTTCTGTGGCTTTGCTGGAGACTTTTCCACGATTTTCACAAAGACTGTTGGGACCTTTACACTCTGCAGATTCATATCCGGACTGGCAGCAGACACGAACTTCTATCTCATGTATATTATAGGTACAAGTCACAGCTGATTTAATGAATGTATCAAACATGAATCTAATATGAATATCTTCCCTTTTGTAGTGCTCGAATATATACGCCCCAGCATGAGGACATTGGGTCTCAATATGGCCGTGGGTCTGTTCTACTGCATGGGTCTCGTCTTCACCCCATGGCTGGCGGTGCTCGCGGGCCATTGGCAGATCTACCTCGCGTGCACCTCGCTGCCCATACTGCTGGTGGTGCTGTACTATTTTGTGGTGCAGGAGAGCGCCCAGTGGCTGGTGACGCGCAATGACATCGACGGCGCCATCGTGCGGCTAAAGCGCGTGGCAAAGTTCAATGGATGTCGCGTGACCCAGGCGGAGTTCGATGAGTTCCGACGCCACTGCCAGATGACGCGCGAGATGCAGGGCGGCGACGAGAAGAAGACTGCAACGCTATTGGACATGTTCCGCACACCGCGAATGCGCAAGAATACGCTTATACTTTTCTTCAAGAGGTAGGCTCCCAGATACATTCCCCTTTGGTCCATCAAATACTGACAGAAATTCGCCTTGGTCTTTACAGCATGGTCATCACTCTCTGCTATGATGCCGTCTCTCGTAACGTCGAGGGCATGGGCATCTCTCCGTTCATCATGTTCTCGCTAAGTGCCTTGGCCGTGCTGCCATCCAGTATACTCCTCGTCCTGCTGCAGGATCGCATTGGCCGCAAGGGCATGGCCTCGGGCTCCCTGCTGGTGGGTGGCCTCTTCACCGCTGCCGCTGGCATTGCCATCGCCTATCAGCAGCACAATCACAATGCCATTCTCCTCGCCTGCCTCACGATTGCCGCCAGGTTTGGTGTGGCCATCTCCTACGAATCGGGCTCCCAGTATGCCACCGAGCTGATTCCCACGTGTGTGCGGGGACAGGGTGTGGCAGCCGTGCATGTGGCCGGGTTTGCGGCATCCTTCTTGGCTCCCTACATCCTCTGGCTGGGAACCTTCTTCAAGGCGGCGCCATCGATCATTCTGGGAATACTGTTCTTTGCGGGCTCTTTCGTGTGCCTCTTGCTGCCAGAGACATTGAATAGGTGAGTGGGCGTAATGGGAGGAGCATTCGTCTGGAATTATATTTAAATTTCTTCCCTTTTTGCAGGAGCCTACCCACCACCATTGAGGAGGGCGAGGTCTTTGGCAAGGGCGAGCGTATGTTCGATTTCCCGTGCCTCCAGCACAACCACGACGACGACGAGGAGTCCGACTCGGAGCTGGAGAAGTACAAGCGGAAGCATTCGCTGATCGATGCCAAGCAAATGGAATCCTCATCGAATGGCAAGCGCAAGCAGTCCCTCATCGATGCCGATCGCGAGGAGCAGGCCCTCAAGGATGCCAAGCACTGAAAGAGCAGCAAATCGATTGTCGTTTCACTTAGTTTATAGTCTAGCTAAACAATTGTATTTGCCTCTAAATCCTACTCCATAATACCCCCACCCCCCAAACAATTATCACTTGAATGCCTACACAAATTCAGATTGTGTGCTCAGCCTTTTCTAATAAATATATACATATATATAGATTTATTTATATATAAGCAGTATGTATATATATACATATATATATATACTGTATCTTTAATCTAAAATCCCCCCTCTAGCTTGTAATCTTGTAGCACGTAGAAATTGTGTTTTTTCCAAAAGCTCCCATTGTGTATAAGAACGGAAATCGTATAGTTAACACTTAAGCGGCACAAAAATCACTTAAAATCAATGAAACAATTTTTGAATACCTAAATATTAAGAGTTTTTCATATGTACATAATTATACAAGACTCCCCTTTCCTCCTTCATCCTCCCATAACTATTGACTATTCTCACTTTATTATTTCGATTTGATTTCGATCTTCAATCAACAAATGAAACAAAAGTATCGTCTAAAGAAAACTGATAATAATTATATATGTACTACTATATAGAGAAACAAAAGCAAAGCCTATAAAAAATCGTATAAAATATACAATGCAAAAAATAATTTAAAAGAAAACAAATTATAGCCAGAGTTTGGTTTTGGGTAGCAGAATATTTTTATAATATTTTTAATTATTCTAAGAGTTGGTATTTTATTAGTCTTAAGATACCATAGGACATAGGGATATTAATTTGGTATTTAATTAATAACTAATGATTCGTAGATGTATGCTTTCTTCTTACTCGGTTGTGTGTAGAAGCTGAAAGACATGTTTTATGCAGGAGTATAAATATTTTTAACGACTGAGAAGCCTAAGGCTTCGAACCAGAGTCAGTGAATGCCATTAAATTTTCCATTTCTGGGGGAACTCTTTCTATAAGCCCAAGTAATTATGTTTTGATTGTAATGAATTTAATTCTTTATGTTTCTGTTTTTATGGGTATAGTAGTGTTTTATTTAACATAATATACGTGAAGAAAATTAGTACACATAGTAGACGATAGATATTTAGCAGTTCTGTTTGTGGGGTAGAATATTTGGGATAGATATTAGATATAGGAGTGCATTCTAAACAACGGTTATGGTTTACTATTACTATGCATCCTTCACATGAGCAATACGACCTATCAGACCATTCAGTTACGGGCGAAACCCAACACTATGTTGGGCTCCTCATCAGGTTATTCGTTTATCATTCAGTTTTCAGTTTTCAGTTATCAGTTCCATTCAGTTGAGGAGTGCTCTCTAGGGCTCAGACTTGGGATCCGCGTGCTTTGTGAGACCATTGCGGCGCTTATAGAAGCAGGGGAAGTAAAAGCAGCTCTCGTTCATGGCGAATACCTCGCCATCGGCCAGGCTTTCGGGGAGTTTCCTAAGGGAAACAGAGGATTATTCTGCAGTTCTGCTAGGATCTCCAGGGCTCAGACTTACTTGTGCAGCGTTTCGGGCAGAGACAGGCATAAAGCGGCGCCAAAGAACATCAGGACACTGATGAAGATCGATGGCAGCGGCTTGTAGTACTGCGCCAGGTAGATCACGTAGAAGGCCAGGGAGCTGGAGGCCAGGCCCACCACATGGATATTGGACACTGCCTGTCCGCGCACGCTGGTGGGGATGATCTCTGCCGCGTACTGGATCTCCGCGTCGTAGGAAACGGTGCTGCCAAAGCGTCCCAGGGCCACCATGCAGGCCAGCAGGATGGCATTCTCTTTGGGATCGAGAAAGGCAATGAGGAAGCCGGTGACTGCAGTGATGATGCCACCCACAAAGAGCGCCCCACAGGCCATGCCCTTGCGACCGATTCGGTTCTGCAGCAGGAGAATGGTAAAGCCCGCGGGCAGGTACACGCTGGATGTGAGGGAGAACAGCTTAAAGGGGGACGTGCCCAGACCCTCCATATTGCGGTTGATCACATCGTACGAGAGGGTAATGATGACACTAAGGGAGAGCCAAGGCATATGGTGAGTACTTGGCCTCTGCAAATCTCCTCGAATCACTCACGACTTCAGCAGCAACGTCAGCGTGAACCGACGGAGACGCGGAGTCCTGAACATGCCCAGGAAGGTGTCCCTCTGTTTGTTCACTTGCGTCTGCTGGTTCATCTTCTCGCGGTAGTGCTTCACGAACTCATCGAAGACGGAGTCCTCCACCTGTCTGCCATTGAATTTGGCCACTCGCTTGAGGCAGGCCACCGCCTCGTCGTATTTCTTTTTGGTGAGCAGCCACTGGGCGCTCTCGCAGATGAGCAGAGGATATCCGAGGACTCCCAGAGCGGGCAACGAGGCCAGCCAGAGGTAGCGACGCCAGTTGCCAATCCAGATGGCGGCCCAGGGCGAGGTCATCAGTCCGAAGCAGTAGAAGACAGCGAGGATGATGTTCAGGCCGAAGGTACGGCGCTTGGGGCTCAAGTACTCGAAGACTGAGGGAGGAAAGAGATAAGTCTGTGGATGGCTAATGATCTGTCTCTTATCTTACCCAAAATGTACATCAGATAGTACATGGTGTCCGTGGACAAGCCAGACACGAACCTAGAGAAGGCAAACCAGGGCAGGGTGTGCACGAAGGAGGTCATAAAGTCCCCCGTGGCACCAGAAAGAGCAGCCATCAGCATGGCTGGCAGGCGTCCAATGTGATCCGAGAGGAAGCCAAAGGTAATGGTGCCCACAACAGAGCCCAGAAAGAAGAAGGATTGACCCACTGCCGGCTGGTGGGACTTGTCGCAGACCCACTTCAATTCCGTGGTGAGACTCTCGTAGCCACTTTCCCGCTCAAAGATCCAGTCCTTGCAGAGCTCCGCGGACTCTGAGGGTATGCCAGTGCCATTGACCACTCCCTGCAGGAGAGTGCACGAAGAATGGGAGACATTGGAGTAGACAGAGCGTAGATCCTCGGCACTGAGGCCCATCAGATCATCATGGGAGCACCTGAAGACAAGACGAGTAGAGCAGCGATTAAAGGAGATCTACTCAACAGAGTGTATTTCCCTAGGGATGCTTACCAATGATCTGGCGTAAAAGTAATAAGAGTTTGCGAGAAATAATGCAGGGAACTGAGAATATTCGTATAGCCATAGAGGATGAGTAGCACCAGTTGGAATCTACCAAAGTTCCCGCACTTTTCAAGCACACGATCGAAATCCATTCTTCACTTTGCTTGAATAAAACTTCACTTTGAATAAAACACAAAACACTTTAAGATGTTCTGAGGGAGATGCTGAGAATTCGAATGCAGCTGAGTCTGTCTGTGGTGAGGCAACTACATTCTGTCTCGAGGCGAGCAGTACTTTGACGCTTGGCTTCTGCCGACCAGAGCCTTTTATACTTAGTATAAAGCATACGCTTCTGATTAGGATGTGTAATTAGTAACAGCTACTAGAGATTGCTGCCTATCTGTTGGCTGTTAGCTGTTCCTACTGCTGCTCAAGCTGTTTGGGGTGTGTGATGTTTACCAAGAGATTTAGAGACTCGCGATTCAACATTCCACAGCTACAAAAGGTGAACGAACACACCCACAAACGAAAGGAGCAAGGAAACTAAGGGATCTATGGAGGTATCTAGTGATTAATTGAGAATATATTTAATGTAATATTACAACCATTCATTCATTAATTGATTCATTCATTCACATAGCTCTCGGCCTTGACTCTGTGTTTTTTTTGGGGGCGGCTGGCGAAATGCGTCTTTTGTGTCGTGTGATAGCCCCCTCTTATCAGGCATTTAACTTGGCCAACTGCCCTCCCGAACTGCCTCTCAACTTTCTCGCAAATCTCGGTTGTTGTTGACGCTGTCTTAGATTTATAATAGATTTAGCCGCTCAGTGGCTTTGTGGCTGAGTGGCTGAGTGCCTCAGTGCCGCCCGGTGCCATGCTGTAAGTCACGCCTCAGCGTCATTTGTTGTCTTTGAGGATTAGGCCAGAATTCTTTTGTTTGTCGCCTGGCATTTTTATTGGATATAGAGATCCAGAGATATAGATTATATATAGTATAGATTACAAAGCGGCAGAGAGACGGGCGCCAAACCAACCGAAGCCTCTCGAATATCCAAACAGAGTTCATTTATCTGTAGAGAGAGGCAGTAAAAGTTCCGGAACCAGGGGCGTGATACACGTCTGAAATCTAACCCCCAGGACAGACGCCGCCCCAAGATCTCTTCTATCTTAAGGGTGGCGATAATTGTTTTACAGGCAGACTATTGCCTACTGCCTAGCTGATGTCTGTCTGGGCTGTGGGATTATATTTTATGGCAGCAAAAAACGCATACAGAAAGTGCATTTTGTCTGTAGTTTTCCACCAAAAAGATCAACCAGATCTGTGGGTTTTCTGTGGGTGCCCCTTGAATGCTTTCAACTGCAAGGCAATTAATTCTTTTATGTATTTAATTTATTCAGATATTTATTAAAACTATTTGGTTGTGACGTTGGCAGCCTCCAACTGAGATGCGGTTTTGATGCTGCGGCTTTCTCTTCGTTGAAAGCAGGGAAAGAAATACCATTTCTCATCCTTGGCAAAGATTTCACCCTCCTGGAGTGTTTGTGGCAGGGCTCTACAGGAAAAGAGAGATATCAAAACTGCAGAAAGAAGATCCTTGAGTGGGAAAACTCACTTGTGTAGAGTCTCTGGCAGCGTCAGGCACAGGGCAGCCCCAATAAAAAGCAGCACACTGATGAACAGCGAGGGCAGCGGCTTGAAAATGGTGCCCAGGAATATGATATACGAGCTGAAGAAGCCAAAGGCATAGCCCACCACGTGGATGTTGGCCACGCCCCGACCCCGGACACTCGTGGGTATGATCTCCGCCGCATACTGCGCCTCGGCATCGTAGGCCACGACAGCGCCATATCTTCCGAGACCCACCATGAAGGCCAAGATCAGGGCATACTCCGAGGGATCGAGTGTGGCCACCAGGTAGCCCGTGACGGCTGTGATGATGGCGCCCACAAAGAGCGAGGCACAGGCCATGCCCTTGCGTCCGATGATGTTCTGGAAGACGATGATGGTGAGGCCAGCGGGCAGGTAGCAGAAGCCCGTGTAGGAGAAGAGCAGGAAGGGGGAGGTGCCAACACCCTCCACATTGCGACTGAGGATGTCAAAGGCCACCGTGATGATCATTCTGAGGAGAGAAAAGAGTTAACTTCCAGGAGAGTAGAGATCGATCCACTCACGATTTAAGGAACAGGATAATGGTGAACTTCCTCAAACGAGGCGTCCTTAGCATGCCCATAAACGTGTCCGAGGATGTCGTCTCCACTCGGTTCTTCTTCTCCCTGTAGTGCTTGACAAACTCATCGAACACGGAGTCCTCCACTTGCCGGCCATTGATTTTTGCAATGCGTTTCAGGCACTGGACAGCGCGATCGAATTTGTGTTTCGTCAGCAGCCACTCGACGCTCTCAAAGAGACAAAAGGGATACACGAGCACACCCAAGGCGGGCAGGGAAGCAGCCCAGAGGTACGAACGCCAGTCGCCCAACCAAATGGCCATCCAGGGGGAGACCATCAGGCCGAAGCAGTAGAAGACAGCGAGGATGATGTTCAGGCCAAAGGTGCGATGCTTAGGACTGAGGTACTCGAAGACTGAAAGGCGGAGGATCCTTTAGGGATGGATTCCGGGACGAGTCGTGCCCCAAATACTCACCCAAAATATACATCAGTACGTATTGGGTATCTGTGGAGAGGCCAGACACGAAACGAGTGGCGCAAAACCACGGCAAAGACGACACAAAGGAGGTGAGAAAGTCGCCCAGAGCACCCGTCAGCGTGGTTATCACACAGGCGGGCAGACGTCCTATGCGATCCGCCAGATAGCCAAAGAAGATTGTGCCCAGCACGGAGCCCACAAAGAAGAAGGACTGACCCACGGCCAGCTGGTAGGCATCATCGCAGACCCACTCGAGCTGTGGACACACAATTGTGGAGGCGAGTGTTAGCGAGGGGAGCTGGCAGAAACTGTTTTCTGTTTTATACTTTTGGGGATATCGAACCTCTGTGGTGATGCTCTCGTAGCCGCTTTCTCTGTCGAAATGCCACGACTGGCACTTGGACTCCCGGTGCGCGGAAGGATCAGTGTCCCAGTGGATGTAGCTGCAGGAATCTACCAGGGAGGTGGCATTCTCGTTGAAGTCTTCAACGGGCAGAGAGCATCTGGAAAGAGAGGGAAATGATGCTACAGGACCTACCTATAATGGCAGGGTGGCGGAACCTACCTGTGAGCGGGCGTAAAACTGATGATTGTCTGTGAAAAGTAATGCAGCGAAGACACTATATTCGTATATCCATAGAGTCCTAGCAGCAAGATCTGATAGCGGCCAAAGTTTCCACACTTCTCCAGGACACGTTCGACATCCATTGTGTGATAGAGTAGCTGCAGCGGCGATCGCTGGCCAACGACTGATGCCCCCACAGGCGATCTAAGCAGCTAAAATATATATCGCGGGGGGCTATACACACTGCAAATAATCGCAGGTGACTTTATCTCTGCGGCCACGGCTGCGATGATGCGAAAGAAAGTGTTTGAGATTTCCCGCAGACGACGTTCCGTGTGTGCCGACTGGAGAGTTTTTTGTGTGTGACGAGTCGAGTGCTTCTGCAGACCATAAACCATAAAAAGTAGTTCGTATCTTTAAAGGTGTTTTGTTTTATGGGCACTAAACTACCGAAACCCGAGCCGCTGGGCAAATAGAAACAGGAGGGGCAAGGCATGTGCCTGAGCTGTCCAAACAATGGACACACGAATCACCAGCCAAGCAATCCTGAAGTCTTTTCTGAGATTCCATAATCTAGATTATGGAATAGCAGATGTTTCGCATACCAGAAACACTGATAGACCTACAACATATATTCCAACGATAATGTGTGTGTGTCTATCGTTATGTTTATTCGATTGAGTGGTATATAATACCTTGACTTAAACAGTGACATCTGCTAAAGAGGGTCTACGACTACATTGAAGATCAATTGCAATTGCTTGCATCCCAGCTTAAAAACTAATCAAAAGTAAACCGCCGAATCTGTGGAGTTCGAAATGGTGCTTGGTGCTGTGGTGTCCCGAGGCCAAAGTGGTGGCCGATTGCGTTCGTTGCTCCGTGAAGCTGAAGGAGAACCAGCGATCGTTTTTGCCAAAGTTCTCGCCATCCTCCAGGGATGTGGGCAGCGTCCGGTGCAGCGTCTCTGGGAGCAGCAGACACAGACAGGCGCCGAGCAGAGAGATCAGGCCCAGAATGATCTCCGGCATGGGGTAGAAGATGCTGCGCGTGTAGAGTATAAAAGCGCTGAAGAAGGTGAAGGCATAGCCTGCCACATGCACCGCAGCCACGCCCTGACCCCGCACACAGGTGGGAATCAATTCGGTGGCATACTGAGCGCCCGAATTGTAGGCCACCGTCACACCAAAGCGACCCACAACAGAGAGGCTGACGAGCAGAGTTGTGGCTGTAAAAACCAAAAAAAAAGGAAACTTAAGGAATAAATTCAGAATATAATTTGGACTGCCTTGGACGACTTACTCTTATCGGTGGCAGGGGCAGCAAAGAGTATGCCACCCGTCACCGAGATGAATATGCCGCTCAGCAGCAGCGATATGGAGGCCATGGCCTTGCGGCCGATGCGATCTTGCAGGGCGATGATCAGCAGGCAGGCGGGCAGAATTGTTGTGGCGCTCAGCGAGAACATCAGAAATGGCGAAATGCCAAGGCCTTGAACGTTCCGCGAGACGGCATCGTAGCAGAGGGTAATGACCATGCTAAATGGAGAATCCAAACAGTAATCAGACATAGATATGGGCAGCTATAGCCTGCAGCTACTCACGATTTGAAGAAGAGAATGAGCGTGTTCCGGCGCAGACGTGGGGTCTTGAAGAGATCCAGCAGATTGGGCCTGGCTTTGGTGTGCTGCTGACTGAACTTACACTCGTCGATGAACTCCTGGTAGCTGCTCTCCTCCACCTGCCGGCCATTGATCTTGGCCACGCGCTTGAGGCAGACCACCGCCCGGTCGTACTTCTGCTTGGAGATCAGCCACTGGACGCTCTCGGGTACGATGAGATAGAAGAAAGGCACCAGCAGGAAGGGCAGCGAGGTGGCCAAGAGAAAACCCTGCCAGCTGCGCATCAGGACAGCAATCCAGGGAGCGGCCATGGAGCCCAGGCAATAGAAGAAACCAATGCACAGGCTGAGGCCCACTGTGCGCAAGGAGGGACGCATGTATTCCATAACTGAAAGAACAGAGAGACATCGATACCCTTAGCAGGGGACTATATGGACAAGAGATCCGTCAGCACTCACCCAATATATACATCATGACAAAGTTACTGTCCGTGGCAAAGCCAGAGACCAAACGAAACACACAAAAGAGCGTGAGGTTAGTGCCCCAAATGGTGAGCAGATTGCCGACCATTGCAATCATATTGGCCACCACGAGAATGGGCAGACGCCCCACCACATCCGCGAGGAAGCCCAACACCAGGGTGCCCACCACGGAACCCACAAAGAACATCGACTGGCCGAGCGTCAGCTTCCAGGCGTCCGCACAGATCCAGTTCATGTCCGAAGTGAAGCTCTCGTAGCCCATGAAGAGCTCGTAGTCATAGTTGTGGCAGGTACTTGCAGATGCATTCTGTGCCAAAGAATGGCAGCTTGATTCACTGGGTGGCTGCTGGCCTCCTCCTCCTGCATCTGGCAGACCATCTGCACACCTAAGCGTATGATTAATATCAAGTATACGCCACGCAAGACGGTTGGGGATTTTGGTTACCAGTATTTGGGCACGAAACTGATGATCGTCTGGGAGTAGTAGTGCAGGGCAGACAGCATATTGATCAAACAGAAGAGCAGCAGCATCAGCAGCTGCAGCCGATTGCAGTCGCCGCATTTCTCCAGTATTTTGTCGACCTCCAGCATTGTGTTGATCCGCACTCGCACCACTTGCATTCACTTCACGCCCTCACGCTGCGATGAAATGGAAAGAAATGGGCTGAATCTCTGCCCATATTTTGCGCGTTTTTTAATTACTAAAGCCAATTAGTAGCTGAGCTGAGCTGAGCTGAGAAAAGCGACTGAGCGCAGCTGCTCTGTCGTTCCCCCTTGGATTCAGATTCAGCTCAGAAACAATTTGGATAAATTATGTTTGACAGCTGAAACATTTCACCAGAGAAATGAAAAACAGATGCTGGCGGCTCTCCGGCTCAGTAAAATTTACAATTTGCTGGGGGGGAGAAATTGTTTTCACAGAGAGAACACTTTTTTGTATGCTATTTTTATGGATATTTTTTTTAGCTCGTTATAGCAGATACGTAACTCCATTTTATATATCACAAAACTATAGTATTTTTGGCCCGTAACATGTCAAAATAATCTAGATATATGCACTTGAAATCAATCAACGATACTGAATCCAATTTCAATAATCAACAGCTTATTTTCCATTTCTTCTTTCTTGTTGGACAACGTATCACACTCTCCACTAATCAACTAGTACACTCTTTTCCCAGTTAAAGCGAACTTACGCATACGAGGCGCAGCTTTTGACTGGCAGGCAGCGCTATAATCTCCGCGCACAGGTCTCAACAAGGCGTCGAAAAATGTCTCAATATTTTGCGATAAGAAACAGACTTTCCTTCTGCAGTCTGCACCTGAATCTGTACATATGTATACAAGTAGAATATTAATGGAACAAGCTCAGTCAGTGACCGCTGGCTTGTCGCTAATTCTGGGTGTAGTGTGCCGCGAAATTGCAATGTCAACCGCACGGAACGAAAGTAGAGTTGGATTTGAGAGGCTCTCGTCTCGATTGGGATTCAGATGCAGGCGAACAAAATAGCACAAAAGCATGTGGCACTGCTATTGCCAGAGAGTGTATCGAATAGTGGATGCCCCCCAATATAGAAGTCTCTCATCGATCGTAGCAAATTTTTTTAAATAAGTAAAACAGTCAGACAGATTAAATTTCTATTCTAATTTTTTTGTACAGTTTTTAGAAATTACCAAAATGTGTAAGGATGATAGATTTGTTTCCATATTTCTCGGCGCATGGAACTTGCTCCTGGGGCCATGCTGCTTACTTCTTTCCCTGGTCTGCATAAGCAAACGCAAGTCGACGCAGGGACTCCGGGTCTACGATCCTGATTATGCCTGGTTTTTGTATTGTTGCGTTCTGTTTATTACTTCAATAATACACATTCTGAGCGGGGTTTTGATACTGCTTGGCATGAAATGGGTGAGTTGCAGTCGGATGGATATTATTACCCCTTATTATTTTTATCGTTTATCGTTTCTGCAGGAGAACAGCAAAATGTTCTTTGTGGGAATAGTTTTGGGCAATTTCTTGCCCTTTGCGCTGCTGTTCACCATCATTATACCAAGTAGGTGGACGCCCATTTATTTTGATATGTTTTTGTTGCTTCTTTTCTGTGCTTTCAGTTATACAAATCATTTTGATGCTTGGAGCGCTCAGATACTACAAATCGAACTGGGAATAGTTTCATGGAACACTTGACATTAAAACTATTTATTAAATTTCAAAATTCGTTTGCGAGGCCCCCTAAATTATCAGTACAAAATAAAGAACAATAGCCTTCGATAAATCTCTCATTAATCATAGAAAATTTTAGAAATAAACACAGATAGAATTTACCAAAATTTGCCAAAATGTGTTGTGAAAGTTGTGAAAGTTGTGAAAATTGGAAATTTGTTTCCTTTTTTTTTGGAGCATGGAACATTATTTGCGGCATATTAATTTTCATTTATTCAACAATCGATAATGTTAGATCTGAATCTCCGATACAGGAGGGGGGACATATCAACGCTAAACGTATTTTCCTTTGGGTTGTGTTATTTACTGCCATTATACACATTCTGAGCGGGGCGTTGATACTGACTGGCTTATGGATGGTGAGTCCCTCGTTGCAGTCGGAGATTATCGTTTGTAACTTGGTTTATCGTTTCTGCAGGACAAGAAATTGTATTTCCTGGTGGGGCTAATTCTGAGTAATATCATGCCCCTTGCGACGTTCTTCACCATAATTATACCAGGTAGGTTCTCCGATATTACCATATACTGTTTCTCCTTTGCTCCATTGCTCTGCTTTCAGTTGTGCACATCATTTGCCTGTTGAAAGCAATCAGATATTACAGGTGGAACTGGGAATAGAACATAGAATGAAATACTTGATATAAAATCTTTGTCTTAAAAGTCAAAATTTGTTTGCGTTTCCCCCTTAAATTACTTGTATAAATAAAAAAAAAATACCATTCGATAAATCTCTCATTGATGATAGAAAATTTTAGAAATAAATACAGATAGAATTTCACCAAAATTTACCAAAATGTGTTGTGAAGCTTGTGAAAGTTTTACAAATTGGAAATCTGTTTCCTTTTTTTTCGGAGTATGGAACATTTTTTGCGGCATATTAATTGCCATTTGTTCAGCAGTCTATATGGAGGAACATAAACGCCCGATGGGGCGACATTTCGACGGTAAATATTATTTCCTTATGGCTGTGTTAATTACTGCCATTATACACATTCTGAGCGGAGCGTTGATACTGACTGGCTTATGGATGGTGAGTCCCTCGATGCAGTCGGAGATTATCGTTTGTAACTTGGTTTATCGTTTCTGCAGGACAAGAAAATTATTTTCCTGGTGGGATTAATTCTGAGCAATATCATGCCCCTTGCCACGTTCCTCACCATAATTATACCAGGTAGGTTCTCCGATATTACTATATACTGTTTCTCCTTTGCTCCATTGCTCTGCTTTTGCCTGGTGAATGCAATCAGATACTACAAGTCGAACTGGGAATAGAACGTGGAATATACTTGGTATAAAATCTTTGTCTTTAAAGTCAAAATTCCCAATGAAATTATCTGTATAAATAAAAAACAATCAAAGAATTCCAAAAAAATATCAAAAAAGAAAACTCCATTGATCATAGCAAACTTTTATAAATAAATACAAACAGACAGACAGAATTTTCAAAAATTAATCAAAATGTGTTGTGAAGATTGTGAAGATCTTAAATTAATTTCCATTTTTTTCGGAACATGGAACATTTTCTTTGGCCTGATATTTTCTATTTATGCTCTAGTCCGTGAGGCGAACTTCAGTACCTGGTGTGGCATCTTGGTTATTGTTCTGCTATTAACATCCATACTACACACTCTGAGCGGGCTATTGACTTTGCTTGGAATATTGATCGTGAGTAATTGGTTGCTTGCGTCAAAGATTATTCTTTAAGTAGTTTTTGTTGTTTATTGTTTCTGCAGGACAACAGAGTAGCGTTCTTGCTGGGAATAATTCTGAGCAATTTTATGCCAGTCATGCTGTTGTTTACCATATTTATACCAGGTAGGTGGACGTCTAAATTATAATATTTTCTTGATATTTCTCCATTGCTCTGCTCTCAGTTTTGCACCTGGTTTGTGTGATTAAAGCGATCAAATACTACAAATCGAAGTGGGTTTCCAGCCCACAAATTTAGTTCTAGCTCCCTTCAAGTGTTTTGAATTCATGGACTACTCGATGACAAATCTCAGAACGAAACTGACGCTAAGTTATCTGTATAAATAAAGAGAAACAATGCCAATCCACTTGTATCTTATTGCATATATAACCCACTCAATTAAGGGGTAGCCAAAAATATAAATCAGGAAGATGTTGACACGATGCTGTTCGCTGGAACGAGGAGATAAATATAGATTTTTAGGTTCGCCGATTTGTGGCATGCGATGCAATTTGTTGACTAGCCCCCACACCCTACCCTACCCTACCCTACCCCACACTACCGTTGTATTATTATTATTATGGGGACAGTTTCATATGTGACGTCACAGTAGGCAGCAGCGATTCATTGTAGATTGCCTATGGAAAAACTTTTTGCAACTTTTGGCTGTGAAAAATGAGTGTAATCATGAATGCAATCAGCGGTTATCGGATTATAATAATACTCGTACTCCCAGATAGCTCCCCTGCCACTTTATTCTCTATTATAAATATTAAAAAGCAACAAGTCATCGTTCTGTGATATATTTTAGGCATTTTGTTCGCGTTTTTGTCGTCTGTGAAAGCAGGGAAAGTACAAGAAACTCTCGTTCAAGGCGAAGCTCTCGCCATCTGCTAGATTCTCTGGAAGTTTCCTGAAATTCAGCAGGGAATAAATGCCCGACATATCGAAAGATATTCATGGACATACTTATCCAAGGTCTCTGGCAACGTGAGGCATAGGGCAGCGCCAAAGAACATCAGGCAACTGATGAAGATCGATGGCAGCGGCTTGTAGTACTGGGACAGGTAGATCACGTAGAAGGCCAGGGAGCTGGAGGCCAGGCCCGCCACATGGATATTGGAGAGGGCTCTGCCTCGCACGCTCGTGGGGATGATCTCTGCCGCGTACTGGATCTCCGCATCGTAGGAAACGGTGGCCCCGAAGCGACCTAGGGCCACCATGATGGCCAGCAGAACAGCATGTTCCTGCGGATCGAGGTGGGCTATGAGGAAGCCCGTCGTCGTGGTGATGATGCCAGCGCCAAAGAGCGCAGCACAGGCCATGCCCTTGCGTCCGATTTTGTTCTGCAGCAGGAGGATCGCCACGCCGGCGGGCAGATAAGCAATCGATGTGACGGAGAACAGCTTGAAGGGAGACGTGCCCATACCCTCCATGTTTCGGTTGATCACATCGCAGGAGAGCGTAATTATGACCCTACAAATGATATATTCTGAGTGTTTCTTGGGGATCCAAATACCGTGATCCAAATACTCACGACTTCAGCAGCAACGTCAGTGTGAACCGACGAAGGCGGGGTGTCCTGAACATGCCCAGAAAGGTGTCCTCCCGGCTGTTCACCTTCTCCTCCTCGCTTGTCTTCTCGCGGTAGTGCTTCACGAACTCATCGAAGACGGAGTCATCCACCTGTCTGCCATTGAATTTGGCCACTCGCTTGAGGCAGGCCACCGCCTCGTCGTATTTCTTTTTGGTGAGCAGCCACTGGGCGCTCTCGCAGATGAGCAGAGGATATCCGAGGACTCCCAGAGCGGGCAACGAGGCCAGCCAGAGGTAGCGACGCCAGTTGCCAATCCAGATGGCGGCCCAGGGCGAGGTCATCAGTCCGAAGCAGTAGAAGACAGCGAGAATGATGTTCAGGCCGAAGGTACGACTTTTGGGACTCAGGTACTCAAAGACTAGAAGGGTATGGAATAGATGGGACATGTGGGATTACACGTGCTACCATGGAGTCTTTATAAATCAGGAATGAAATGTAATTGTCATAGGGTTAGTTGAGTAAATAAAATACAATAAAATACAATTACAAAAAGTAAGGAAAAGGTAAGTATGCATAGCTGGGGATCTTTGGTCCTTGATCCTTGGTCCTTGAAAAAACTCATTAAATCACGAATATTCTCCCGATCACGAGAAGGCGGAAGAAAGTCAAGAAATGGCGGAGAAAGGTAAGTATTTGTAACTGGGAAAAATATCCTGATTCCGTGGTTTTTTATAAGGACTCGAAAAAATCGGCGATTTTTATCTGATCACGAGGAGACGTACCACGTCCTGATCGGACTTGAAATAACGGAGTTAAGTAGATTTAAATAACATTAAAACTAATTACACATATTTAGCACATTTGAACTTCGCGCTCAGTTTCATAGTAGCCAGCTTTTGACACGATGAAAAAACATAAAATCACAGGGCCCCTCTGCTGATTTCTGTTCGCCTGGTAGCCCAGATTTGAAATTGTCTTTTTCGGTCATTTGAGCGCCATCAAATTCAAAGTTGTTGTTGTACAACAATTGACAACAATAACAATAACAACAACAACTTTTAACTTGCGACTGCTCAAATGGCAGAAAAATGAAATTTTCAGATTTCAATACCAGGCGAACAGAAATCAGCAGAAGGTCGCTGGTTTTTTTGTAAATTTTCTTTTTCAGCCCCAAAAGTATGCTATGATTCTAAGTTAAAAGTATGCAACAGAATTTGATTATATGTTGTAACTAAAACAATGCAACACAATTTTTGCAATTGTATTTCCTTATCAACCCCAAAAGTATGCTATGATGTAATTATATGTTGCAGCTAAAAGCATGCAACACACTTTTTATATGTTTTGCTTCGTCAGCCCCAAAAGTATGCTATGATTCTTAGTTAAAAGTATGCAACAGAATTTGATGCAATTTTTCTGATCGCACATCTGAACTTCGCGTTCAGTTTCATAGTAGCCAGCTTTTGACACGATGAAAAAACAAAAAACCGCGGTACCTTCTGCTGATTTCTGCTCGCCTGGTATCCCAGATTTGCAATTTTCTTTTTCGGCCATTTGAGCGCCATCAAATTCAAAGTTGTTGTTGTACAACAATTGACAACAACAACAATAACAATAACAACAAAAACATAAGGGAGTTGTTGTACAACAACAACTTTTAACTTGCGACTGCTCAAATGGCAGAAAAATGAAATTTTCAGATTTCAATACCAGGCGAACAGAAATCAGCAGAAGGTCGCTGGTTTTTTTGTACATTTTCTTGTTCAGCCCCAAAAGTATGCTATGATTTAATTAAATGTTGTAACTAAAAGTATGCAACATTGCTTTTTAGTTAGAAGTATGCAACAAAATTTGATGCAATTTGTCTGCCCGAAATCTCAACTTTGAGCGGCAACAAATTGAGGAGTCCGACTAACGATGTCTACATATATGTATGTATGTATCTACTCGTACTTACCCAAGATGTACATCAGATAGTACATGGTATCCGTGGAGAGACCCGAAACGAATCTGGCGACGGCAAACCAGGGCAAGGTGTAGACAAAGGAAGTCATGAAGTCACCCGCCGCCCCGCACAGGGTGGCCAACAGCAGGGAGGGTAGGCGACCGATGTGATCGGAGAGGAAGCCAAAGGTCATGGTGCCCACCACAGAGCCCAGAAAGAACAGGGACTGGCCGAGAGCGGGCTGGTGGGATTTGTCACATACCCAATTCAGCTGAAAGTGAAAGGGAGGGAGGAGCTGATGATTTGCAGGCAGGGATGATCCATCCACATCCAAAGATTAGTCACCTCCGTGGTGATGCTCTCGTAGCCACTCTCCCGCATGAATATCCACTCGGTGCAGACACCATGCGCCGCAGCAATGCCCGTTCCATTGATAACATCCACAAGGAGCGTGCAGGATGGCTGCGAGATATTCGAGTACACCGAGCGTAGCTCCTCCACACCAAGACCCATGAGATCTTCGTGGGCACACCTTTGGAAAGGTTGGGAATTTGGGATACACTTTCTTTGCTGCCTTTTCGACTGTACTCTGACTGTGACACTAACCAATGCTCGGGCGTAAAGGTGATTAGCGTTTGCGAGAAATAGTGCAGCGATCCGAGAATATTCGTGTAGCCATAGAGTAAGAGGATCACCACCTGGAATTTTCCATAGTTTCCGCACTTATCCAGTATTGAAATAAAGTCCATGGGGACTACTAATTTTCTACTTAGAACCGAAACTGGCCGAATGCAATGTCCAACTAGAGTGAAGGGCTCACAAGAAGCTACCAAATTGGTTCTTCTGCTGGGGATTTTCGTGCAAGGTACGTGCGAAAAACAGCTGCTCCCACATGTGAGAAACTGTGTGGATCGTAAACACATTTCCCTCAAAGGTTTTCTCCACTATCTACTATCTGCATTTCCCCCCTCCTCCTCCGCCGCTGTTAATTTAAAGTCAAGACAATGTTGCATTAGCCTGACATTCTTGTTGATCAATTGCTTTGATCTTCTGGCTAAAAATAGTTAAAACATATGACACGGCCGCAGGCACGACTTTGATTCCCTGCTATACTTCCCAACGAGTGCTTGTCGCCCGTCGCACGTCGCACAATGCAATCCGCATTGGCGAAAAACAATGCATGCAGCTGTCAATGGCTTAACCGATCGCAGATACAAATTTGTGGCCATAAATTAAGCGCACAAAACGGTAAATATTACGTGGAATTGTCACAGACACTTGGCTGTGGGAAGTGGGGAAAGGGTATGCTGGATAGAGCAGAATATGGTGTGCACTTTAAAGCAATTATGTGGGTAGTAGATTAAGAATCTGCGACTTCTGGTAGCTGAAAACATTAAAGATATTTTGATATATACTTACGGGACTTATGGGATCATCTTTTAATATATTTGATGTCTTCAAGTAACTCCTTTCCTCTGCTGCTTTCGGGTTTCTTTAGCATTTAGCTGTACCCCCAATTAAAGTGTATTATTAACGACATTATTTGCTTGGATATCGAGTGTTTTTTTGTTTGTTGGCCTGGTCTCTGGGCCACACTAATGTGCCGACATCAGCACGTTGACCTTTCGCTTTATTAGGCGGCTATGCTGGCAGCCAGGCAGACCCCTGCCGAACCCTGTCTCTGAATGGTCTCTCTCTCCCTCTCTCTCTCTCGCTCTCTATCTCCGGGCACACTCTTAATTCAATTGCGGACTGTCTGACCTTTTGCGCATGCGCACAGCGCCATCGACTGCCATTTCATATGGAAATGCTGGGCCCCCAGAGCCCCCTGTTCTTCTGGGTTGCCACTAATTACACAAACAAAAAAAAAAAGAAACAAACGAAAGAAGTCCTAGACCGGCGCCGGCAGGCAGCTGTATGATAATTTAACATTTCAATTGTCTTAGGTGAAATAAATTTTCACATAATTGCCCCAAAGTTGAGGTCCAAAGTTGGGAATCGAAAACAGAAAAGCAGAAAACCAGAAAACCAGACAAAAGTGAAAGGGCAAGTGGCTGTGGCTGTGGCTGTGAGGTCCCTTTAAATGGTTTAGCGGAAGAATAACCTTTCTAAGTCGACACGATAACTGCGCCAAAGTTGAAGCCAGGCACGGCACGGCAAGGCACACGATTTGCAGTGCCAGTGCTGACAGTGTCGGCAGTGCCAGGTGGTGGCACCTCCACAGAGACACCGACAGCGACTCCTCGACTGTGTGTTGTCTGTGTCGGTGTGTCTGCGCCATGTGCTTGATCGCTGAACCTGGTCTTTGGGTCTCTGGTGTGTGGGTCTCTTTGGTCTGTGGGTCTCTGGCCAGGTCTCGTCTCTCTTGATCTTAAATTAGTTTATTGCTGGCTGCGCCATGTGAAGCAGGCGACATTTGCCGCCACTTTTGACTATAAATTGCCAGAACGCCAGCCGAGTGTCTGCAGTTTCGGTTACTTCTTCTAAAGCGGTTGTTCGTCGTCGTCGTCGTTTGGCATCTGCTCTCTGCGTCGCGTAGAGTCCGAGAGTTAACTGCGAGTGAGTGGCCAGAGGATAGAGGATACTGTAGAGGATACCTCTGCCACACAGGAAAACGTTATGCTGAAGGTGGGATCTGGTACTGTGGACTATTCTGACACACTCTCTGAACCCTTAGCCTCTGTGTATCCCTCAGATATTCCTGCTGAGCGCCGTGCTCGGCATTGCCTACGCTGGTGTCATTGGCCCCGGACCTGGACCTGGACCTGGGCCTGGTCCGTACTATGGCGGACATGCTGGCCCCGCCCTGCTGCCGTATGGCGGCTATGCCCCGCATCCTGGCCCATATGCAGCGCCCAAGCCTGCGCCAGCACCAGAGCCCTACGATCCGGATCCCAAGTATTCCTTTGGCTATGACATCCACGATGGTTACACGGGCGACCTGAAGAGTCAGCACGAGACGCGCCATGGCGATGTGGTGAAGGGCAGCTACTCCGTGGTGGATCCAGACGGCACCAAGCGCACCGTGGACTACACAGCGGATCCGCATAATGGCTTCAATGCGGTGGTGCGAAAGGAGCCGCTCGCCTACAAGCCTGCCCCAGCTCCTGCGCCTGCGCCTCTGCATCTGGCAGGACCTGCACCGGGACCCCTCCATCTGGCTGGACCTGCGCCAGCACCCCCCCTGCCGCCAGTGCCCAAGAACCCCGCTCCACTGCTCTCCTACCCTCTGGCTTATAGTCATCTTGGTCCTGCTCCAGCCCACCCAGCTCCCGCACCTGTGCCCGTCCCCGTGGCTGCGCCTGCACATCACTTCCATCCCGCCTACCCTGCCCTGGCACACAGTCCCTATGCCCACTACCCGGCACCCGCTCCTGTGGATCCCCATGCCTACTATCATCACTAATACGGAGGAGGCGACTGTACTGATCTGACTTGATTTTTTTTCGACTTTTCTGACTCTTAATTCTGTGTCAACTGCTGTGCCTCTCCATCTACGCATCTCTCTCTCTCTCTCTCCCATTTGCCTTTGCCGTGTTCTTTGTGGCGTAGATTGTCTATAAGGTTTATCCACTAGATCTACTATGTATTAAGCATATAGATAGTAGCGTTAGTAAGCGATAACTAGCGATAGAGAAATAATCAATTGAACAAGAGATCCATCCATTAAAACTCCCTTCAGTTTCTTTTAACGCAATTGATGTGTGTTTTATTTATTGTATCGCAATGGTTTTTGTTTTTTGTTTTGTTCATATATGTATATGTTATATGATATCCGTATATATGTATATGGTATGGTATATATGGTATATGGTATGTATAATTATTCCGATTATGTGTTGTATATAAACGTCCACCATACGTGTGTGTTTTATATGTATGTATATAAATGTAGTTCCAATGTATATATCATATATCATATGTATCATTTATGTTTTATGCATAGTTCTAGAACAGATTGAAATGTGACACGAGATCTGACTTCAAAATGTTCCTCCCAGGAGTGGTCTCTTCTTCTTCTTCTGTTGGTCTTGCTGCCACTCTCCTTCTCCTTCTCGTTCTCTCTCTTGATTTTCTTTATTTATTTTAGGTATACAATTTAAATACGATTATAGTCCTTAGTTTTGTAATAAACGGTATCAAAAGATAGGTACAATTGAGTCATATGCCTGCTACCCACTAAATTAATTTCGAATCAACGGAAATTGCATTTAGTCGCCAAGCTCGGGGCCTCTCTCATTTGTCTATCTGTCTATCTGATTGATTTGCTGATCGATGATCTATAAGATACTTCAACTAAGGGTTCTTTTTTAGGTCTTTAGGCTGAGATACATACCATGGAAAGTGCTGTGCTCTTTAGGGGGGAAAAGGAGGGACTTGCATTTGGACACAATTTAGCTAAGTTGTATTTTCTGCTTAGAATAAGTTACTATTTTATATACGTTAAATAAGCGGCTAATATAGCTCACAATATACTGTTCATAATTCATAATTTCTTCGTTGATTGTTTGGCTTCCTTCCATTACATTACTCGCTCTCTCTCTCTCTCTCGTCCTTCTTTATGGGTTAATGCATAACTACGAGTATATATCGTATCGTATAAATTGTTTATTCATAGACAACCACTTGATGATGATTCCACTGAAGACTATTTTGGGATATGCTTGAATTGCTTTTGCTTCTGATATATATCATTTCTTTTATATTGTTTGTTTATCCGTATAAAAAACACACTGGGCCAAAATAAATAAAAAACGTATTCAAAAATGATTAGCAGTTTGGTTTTTGTTTTGTCATCTGGCAGCTTTTTGGCTATGTAATATTCTCAACTCTTAAATTCGTACGATTACTCCTACAAATTGTATTTCGATTTAGAAATATTTGGTATATTTTTGTTATTTTTATGGGGGGATATGTCTTCCACTAATAATTCGATTAGATAGATTAAGCATTCAGTAAGTTTTTATGGGGTTTTGGTTCATTTGTTTATAACTAGAAACGGAGGGTTTTCATTTATTAAAGTTTGATTGGTTATTTTGGTTATTTGGTAGGACTCTCCATTTCGGTAAGGTTTACGGTTTACGGTTTACGCTTTACGGTTTCTTGTTGTTTTTTTTTTATTAGTGGGATACGAGAAAATTTAGCTAACTGCATTTCAAAGATACATAGCTACATCTATTCTGTATATTTAGTTGTATTTTATCTCGTATATAATTCATTCTAGATTTATAGTCTGCTTTTGTGGAAAATGCTTGAAACCAAACGTTTGATACACGTAAAATGAAGAAGTTTCGTTCCTAAATCCTGTTCCATATTGTCCATATTTTCGTACTTAATTTCGTTAACTAAAATTTGTAAATATTTTAAGAGAACTTCAACTTAATATTGGTACTACATATATTTAGTATATATATTTTATGTTGATCTTGTGGGCTAAAACTTTACTCACTCTCTCTCTTTTGTGGTTATATTTTGCGATATTTTTGAATAGACATCTAAAGAGTGTTTCGATTCGATTAGTTGGTATTTTTCTTCTTCTTTGTTTTGTGGTATGTATTTTTAAGGTATTTGTATGGTATTTTAAAGCGGTTCTTCATAGTTCATATTTAAGGTTTATCTTTCATATTTTTGTGTACATAATTTGACTAGTTTGCAATTGGAATAATTCATTATTTTTATATTGGATTCTTCTGTTAGACGTTAGAGTTTAGTAATATTTTAGTAATAGAAAAAGGTGGTCCATTTGGTGATCGTATTCGTGTCAGCATATGATTTAGGTAGGTATATCTATAAATCTACGAATAAAAAATTAAAACTCAAAATGGGGGGAGGGATATTTTCAATAATAAGTTTCTTTAATTAAAAACATTTTGCAGCACACACTTTCAGTTAGCACAGATATGAATTAATATCGAATAATATTAAGAGAAATAATAATACACACAAGAACTCGACTCGGTGAATAAATAGGAATAAAACTCTGGATTTGAATGTACATTTCAAAAGGCTTATTTCATAAGCATTTCAAAAGTGTTACGATATGGGGGGGAAGTATTTGAAATTTGATATTTTTTCGTTCTTTAACAATTTATGATTATGCCTCAGCTATGATATAGGTTGCTCCTGCCCTTGCTTCCATTATTTGTATAGATATTTGTAGAGAGTATAGGGCATAGTTTTATGGGGTATATTTTTATCGCTTAAACCTTAAATCTTTTCTGCATTATTTCCAGCTTTCAATATGTATCAGTGTTTTAATCGTACCTTTGCTTCGCTTCTTTTCTCTTCTGTGCTCTGCTCTGCTATCATCTCCTCTCCTCGATATAATGTATGTATATATACTATATATAGATTTCTGTTGCATCTTTTCCATAACTACTATAAAAGGTTACTCTATCCGCATGCATATTGTGTATAAATAAGGGGGCTGTATCTTTATCCTTATCTATATCTTTAGATTTAGATTGGATTGGATTCATTTCAGTTAAGTATCAAAGGGGTTTTTGCTCTGCCGCTCCACACAGGTCTTCTCCGTCGTTGTTGTTGTTGTTGTTGTGTTTGTGGTGGTGGTATTGCTGCTGCTCGAAGTCTCCTCCTGCTCCTGCTCCTGCTCCTCTTCATTCCCATCCTTGTTGAGGCTGCTGCTCTCCATTTCCTGTTCGGTTATGATGGTCACCAGGCCACTGCCATTCTCTACAGACAACAAAACAAAAACAAAAAACATATTCTGGCATTAGTAAGATTCATCTTTAAAGGGACTCCTTTTACTCCTTCTGCTGCTGTGAATAAAAGGAAAATACAACACTCATGTTTCTTGGGCATTACCGGGCATTGGGCATTGGCCATTGAGTTTCTTTCAATCCATTCAACATTTTTAGGTGAGATCTGACCAAATGAGAGCATGAGAATGCAGAAAGCGAGAGAAATATATTTATCCAGATTAGATTCAGAATCAAAAAACACAACAACATCAATCACAAGACAACAATCAAACCATCAATCAAAGTACTAGGAAACACAAAAAAAATAAAACTCGAAGAAAAGTTCATTTTTTTTTTTTTTTTAGCAATTTCCGCACCATTCAAGTGCTGCTGCTGCTGCTGCTGTTGCTGGTGTTGCATCAGACTCGAGTGCGGTGGCGGCGGCGGACGTCCGTCGTCGCCCAAATATCCTCCGGGCATGTCAATGCCACCATTTCCCGTGAGTGCACCGCCTCTTTGCGAGTGCTGCTGCTGTTGTTGCTGCTGCTGCTGCTGCTGTTGCTGCTGCTGCTGTTGGTGCAACGCATTCAGTGCCCCACTGAGTTGATGCTGATGATGCTTGGCCGCCAAATGCTGTTGCAGATCATTCTGGAGTCCCGGCAGCATGATGCCCTCTGAGGGTGCGGGTGTTATATATATAGCAATCGAAAGGTTAGTCACAGTCAGCGAGGGGGGAAAGCTACTCCTAGCTATAGGTCCTAGTTCCTAATACAATTCCTAGATTAAAACTCACTTGAATTGTGATCGTAGTGTCCGTTCTGTTGGTTCATCTTGGCCGGCGAGTCCGTGTTGAGCTGCGAGGCAGTCACCGAACGGGTCTGCAGGGTATTCGGCTTCGAGTTGAGTGCTGAGCCCGGGGCACTGGGTAGGCCGCTGCTGGTGGCACTGCTGCCGCCATTGGGTTCGTCCAGCAGCTGTCGCAGACGCTGCAGCTGTGCCTCCAGCTGCCGATTGTGATCCTCGAGGATTTGCATACGCGCCTCCAGGCGGCCCTTGTGCTGGCGCAAGAGTTTAGCCTCCGCCATCATGTCCTAACGAAAATAAGAGAGATGATTAGCAGAGCACTCAGACTGTGTGTGTGTGTGTGTGTTCTCTCACCTGTCCCTGCTCGCCTTGGCTGCCGCCCAAGCCCGTCATGCTGCTGCTGCTGGAATGCTGCATGCCATTCGAATCGTCTGGGGTGCCGCCGCTCTGCTGCTTGGTGCACAGCTGCTGGTACTCCGCCTGCAGATTGGCATTCTCCTCCTCGAGATCCCGTATGATGGCCTCCAGCTCCTCCCGCTGCTCGGCATCCATGGCGGCCATCACCTGGACGGGCGACTTGGGTGCACTGCTGCCATTGCTGGTGCCGGGCAGCGCCTGGCAATACTGTGCTATCAGCTGGTGCTCATCGTCGCTGTCTGGCGTCGAATTGGAGCCCGTGCCGCCGTACTCGACCTGCGCCAGCCGCGAGGCATACATCTCGAGGCGTGTGTGCATGTCGCTCTGCAGCTGGTGGGTGGTGTGCTGCGGACTGGGGGCAGGACTCTCCAAGGCATCACCTAAGTTGGGAGATCGCGCATTAAGTGAGATCTTGATGGCAGCTGTCGCTGAGCTGAGCTTACCTTCGAGCACACTCTGTACGGGCAGATAGCCGACGCGTGGATGCTTCTTAAAGTATTTGCGACTCTTGAATTTGTTCTTCAAAGCGCGCGTAAAGTCGCGCACATCCTCCGTGGAAGTGGTCTGTGGATAAAGGGTTATAGATCAGTATATTGCAGGGACTCCTCTGTGGATATGGCTTTACCGTTGTGCAGTATTCGTGCATCGGATGGGTTAGCTTGTGATTCTTGGCATTTCTGCCGAAGAAGAAACACTTTTGGCACATGTCAAAGTTGAAGCACTTGAGGCAGCGATACCGGAAGCCCACAATCGGATACTCCTTGCAAATGTTGCACTTGGCCTGATGCTTGGCCGCCTCGGCGGCAGCCAGACGATGCAGCACGGGCAGCCACACCAGACTCTGTGGCTCGTGCTGCAGCCAGCCGAGGAAGTGCTGCAGCTCAATGGAGATCTCCTGATTGCCATCGATGGCCTCCTGGGAGATGCCAGCCTGCTCCAGGCATGAGCGCACCGAAGGCTCAATGTTGGAGCCACCAAAGGCCGCCACTTCGCCCAGTTGTCGCGGTACCTAAGCGAGAGAAATAGAAGAATTTTATTGCTATGCTCTGGAGGAGTACAAAGGGTATACCCTTACCTGTATGCAGTCGTGCAGCAGCAGACCCAATCTCCGTTGGTCTGCCCTTCGTTCGGTGTCGGCCACCAGGCGGAACAAGTAGCGATATTTCTCCTCGAGATGCCCCTTGCAGAGCAGCACCAGACCCACCTTGAAGCTCAGCACACGAATCTGCCCAGTGCGCTGCGAGTCGTAGACATTGAGGATCCAGTTGATGGCCAGGTCCAGCATCAGCGTCAAATCAATTTTATCGATTGTCACATAGAGCGAATGCAGCACCGTGGTCATGTCGGGTATATCGATGAGCTTGTCGTTCTGTGCCCTCAGTCCATGGCGATCGAACGACTCGCAGGCAGTGGCCATTGTGATCCTATCGAGGGCTGTAATCAAATGACTTTTAGTGGACGGATTCCCTGGAAAATACTCTGGGACTGGGACCTACCCAATCTCTTTTGCACAGAGCGCAGCTTCATGGCCGTCCTGTAGGCCGAGAAACGAATCTCATTCAGATCCGCCAGACCCTTCATTAGCTCAATCATATCCGGATGGTCCCAGTGTGTGGTCTCACGTTCATGGCTATCATTCCGAAGGGGAAGCGTTTAGGTTACTCACACTGCAATGAACAATGAACATGCCCCTTGGCTCTAATACTCACTCGATGTAGTAAGGCACATTGGCTGCCGTTGTGGCCCTCTCCCAGGGGGGCTTAACGCTCTGGCCGAGATTCGGCAGCGGTCCAATGGTCCCACTGTTCGATGTGTTACGCCCATCGTCCCCATTCTCGTGCGTCTGCTGTGCCCCTGCCGCACAAAGCACCTTCTGGCGCTCATCCATGGCAATTTGCAGGAGTTTCATGCTGCAACGACAACAAAACGACAAATCCCTCAATGAACAAGGAAGGACACAATAGGGACATGGGGTAGGGCACACTCACCGAGTATTCAAATCCTCTAACTTGGATAGGCAGGGCGTGGGCACTAGCACTTGGTTCGCCGTGAAAAAGGATTGCTGCTCATTACAATCGTCCAGCAGGGCACTGGCCGTCGTCATCTTGTCACGCAATCGCTGCAGCTGCTGCATCTGCTCATTGGCCTCGCCCACCGACACGGGCGCCAGCCACGAGTTCTTTGTCTGCTCGGCCAATGCCACACGGGAGCTCAGATCCTCGAGTATCTTCTGGAATTGACGCATTTTCTGTTGAAAGAAGAATACAAAAAGGGTTTTAGCAGGAGGTTTAGTTAGGTAAGTGGAGAGATGTATTGAGGTATTGAGGTGTGTATGTGGGTGTTTAAAAGGCTGGGACAAAATGCAGAAAGCTCAAGAATTAAGGGAATTTTAGTGGAGATTTTCCATCTTCAATAATTCATTTCAGAAGTAATTCTAAAACGTAAATACTCCAAGAGTTTCATTGTAAATTTCGGCTGTGAATTATCTTCCTTTTTGCGACTAATTTATTTAATATTCCTGTAATTTGTGCCATTTCTCTCAATAGAGTTTTCTTTAGCAAATAATGCATAAATATTTCCCAACATAAAACTTTCTAAATCCAGTAGGAAACATATTTATGGTGCCTGCAAGAGAGATTTTCCTGTCCTCCCCTTCCTTTGCTTTTCCTTCTCTTTCCAGACAGATAGACAGACGACCACTTTGTTGCGTGGATCAGTTGCTATATCCTTTGCACCTCCCATAAGTTGCATCCTTCTTTGCGTTAGAGCACGGAGCTCCATCCGTCCCCTTGCTGTGCGCCTGGCCAACAATATAATCCCCTTGACGGGCCCCATAATAAGCCGTTACAGCAGCAACAGGACTCACCCCCCTGCCCCCTCTAGCCAGAAGTGTAAGCTCCATAATCGTAATTAAAGTTATACCAGGGCGAAGGCTAGCAAGATGGAGAAGGGGAGGGATGAGGTTTTGCCTCCCAGAAAAGTAGGCAACATAATCCCAGCCACGTTTATCCTTGGGGGGAAAGTCCCAGTCCCAGTGGCTATGTGTGTGTGTGTGTGTGTGTGTGTGGTGTGTGCATGCAAATGAAATGCATTTTCTTGGCGGCTTCTTTCCTTCCATTGTCTCGGTGGCAAATTAAGTTTTATGCACATGATAAAAGGAAAAGCAAAGAAAATTAAGCAAAGACTCTTCCAAAAGGATGCCACGGGAGCATAGCAAAGGAGTCTTAGGGGGCGGGGGGGCCTTTGGTCATAATAAACAAGTGACAAAAGCTAATTATATTGTTATGGTTGGTAAATGATGTGCCAGGGATATGCTGAGTCCCGACTGTACTGCTCTTGTGGAGACTGGATTGTAAGTATTTTTGTAAGGGAAACCAAAAGGATTCGTTGTAGAATGTATGCAGAGGAGTTTGGAAGATATCTCATTGAAGGGTAAAACAAAAGGATACCCATAAGATGAATTAAGTAGGGATTTAGGGAAGATTCACTGACCATAGGATGAGGTTGGTGGTCTTTAAAACATTCTTTAGAAATACTCGTATATTTTATTTACTCATTTCACAGTTCCATTTCGATTACCTGCGAGAATAAATACCCGAAAAATTCCCCAAATTCCTCCTCAATTTCCAAGTATATTCCTTCAACATTTGATAAATTTTTAATTTGGAATTTGATTGCTTCCTTTTTGACCTTTGATTGGATTCTTCAACATTTGCTTGAAGAGAAATTGATTTAATTGAATTCTAGTTAGAAATTCCATCACCTATTTATCTTACAGATTGCTCTCTTTTTCGTTATTTTAAATAAAAACTAATTAAACTACAAAGAACTTCCTTATGCTAAACTAAAAGGAATCTGCCTCTTCCTGCCGCTCTCTATCTATCCTTCGGGGATCTGTATTTTTTCCATGCTGCCTGCATCACAGTTGCATCTTCATTAGCAGTAAAAAGGCAGGGGGACGTTTTCCCTTTAACGTTTATGCTCTCCCATTCCCAATGGGGGGGATTTTTCCCTGAACCATTGCTCCCAATTGCTACCCTCTTTGCTCTCTTCTTTCAGCACTTTTTCCGCTGTGCCAATTTGGTGCTTTGTAACTTTAAACTGGAAAAGGCAGAAGGAGCAGCACAGGAGCAGAAGGAGCTGCAGCAGAAGAAACAGAAGGAGCTCCTGCTGCAGCAGCAGCGGCATGCATCCATGAGACGTGCAACAGGAGTCGAACACAGAGGTGCACAGCAGATGTTGCACACGTTTCATTTAGCCCATTTTCTTTCGTGCCCCCCCCACCCATTCTGCCACTGCCTGTGAAATTTTCGCTTTTCAATTTTTACCTTTCGCACCCCATTCCGCACAGTCTGTCGTCTGGCGTCCCGTCCCGCGTCTGGCGTCTGCATTTTCCATTTCCATAAACCCAGCAACGAGCAGCAGCAAGCAGCAAGCAACAAGCAACAACAAAAACAATAAGAAGAAAACTTTCATTGCCCTGCGCTGGCATTTTGCATGCAACAAGCACAAATGCATTTTCCACGTACCTTCAGCAAAAAGGCAAAAGTTTTTCCCTCAAACTCCACAAAAGGAGTGGGGTAGGGCAGCAGGAGGATCCCGCCAGCTATGCTCTCCTCATTCCTCTCCCTCTCCTTGCTGTTCTTTCGTTTACTTTATTATTTCATTTAGTTTTCCCTTCATCTCCCGCTGCAGTTGGCTTTCCCTTCTCTGCTTCTGTGTGTTGTAGTTTTTTAATTTAGTTTTCTTCAAGTTTGTGTTTTTGATTTGCAACTTTTCCTTTAGCTTTTCCAGCCTTTAACTCCTTGGCTGGGCAGCAGGCTGCTCCTGGCTACTGGCTACTGGGACAACGTTTATACCCAATAATGCTAAGCCCCCCACCCCACATGGGTTCTGTCTGCTGTCTGCTGTCTCCTGTCTTGCTCTTTCTCTGTTTGTTTTCCCTCTCTTTTTCCCCTCTCTGTTTTTGTTTTCGCCCTTGTTTTGTGGCATCTCCCCAGCGATGTCCACTGATGGCAATTGTTTCATTGTTTTCTTCTGCAACTCTTCCCTTCCCTTCCCATCATCACTTCTTTTCTTTTCGGGTGCAAATCCTATTTTCTTGTTTACTTTTTTAAGGGATTTTCATTGGGGATTGTCTTTAGCCAGTATTAGAATAAAGTTGGGTGGGCATACACGTACTCGTCTATGGTGGTTGGAAGGTAGGAACTTCCATACATATTTCACCGAGATTGAGTTGTTTTTGTACTGAACTCATGTTCAAGGCTGAGGCCACACTTCATTTAGTTTGTTTGCGGTTTTCCGAAAATACTTTTCAAAGAATTGTTTGACTGAAGAATTGTGGCCTGACGCTTCATCTGGCTGATATTTAAGGTAGCACTTTCTATGGTTCTTGAACTTAGGTATGGTTTAAGTTGTCTTCTCTAGCTGTTTTTTCTGCTCAAATTTATATAAATTTTTTTCGAAAAACCATGTTTTTATGGTATAGAAAAGCGAACAAAAGGAACAGCTTCTCCACTTCTCTTTCCTGTCGTTTCACCTGCCGTTGATTGCAGCCTTTTGTCCCCCCAGACCGTTCCCCCTTCTACCCTCGACTTTTATTATTCCTGTGCTAATGAAGCGTGCACATAATTTCCCCCTGCACTGTGTTCAACTTCTATTCTTCAAAGGCTCTCCTCCCTCCTCTTTTGTGTGTATTTTCTCTTCATATTTTTTCTAATTAGCAGCCACAAAGGCTGCAGCCTGCCCCAATTTGTCGTCCATCGGCGCAATCAATAATTTGATGTTTACAATAAATATGCAACATGCCACATGCCTTTCTCTGTTGCAGTTGTAGGAAGTAGCATCAGTAGCAGCAGCAGCAGCAGCTCCTTTAATTAGTGGCAGCAAAAAGCCAACAAAGTGGCCGCCACCGTCGCCGCAACAAAGAGACAAGAAAGCTGTTTGCCATCGAAGTCATTATGGAAGGAAGGAAGGAGAAGGCTGTGTGGCAGGTTGGCATGGAAGGGGTAGGGTGTGTGCTGCCACTGATAACAAGGGGCCAATGCACTTTTAAAGCTGCCTCCTTGGGAAAAACACACAAGAAAAGTCGCTGGAAAAAGGCAGCAGCAAGAAGCGAGAAGTTTAATCAACGAAGGCAAAGTCCATGCAACATTCATTCATTCCACTGTGTATATATGGCAGGCAGGGAATCCTTGTAAAGTCAATATGGATGGCCAAGCAAGGGGGAGGGGCTGGTGGTAAGGCTGCAAAAGACCACCACAGCCCCTGCCCGTGCCGCATAGTTGTGACGGGCAGGCGTCTGTCCATGGCATCCGTCCGGCGTACTTAAAAAGTGCAACACTGTGAAATGTAATACCTTTTTCCGTTTGACGCCCATAACAATTCCTAGCTACACAGGCCCCCACCACAGCCCACCCCTGTACCCCCTGGGGTGGCAAGCCAGGAGGAGGAAAAGTTGGTTAAATAAATAAAGAAAAAGCTGTCGCCATATTTTCTATGGCATCTGTGTGGAGGTGGAAGTGGAAGTATGGAAGGAAAACGACAAGCAACGACCGCCCGCCCGCGTCGCTTATTAAAAATGCTGCTTTTGTGGCATGCCTCCACTGCCTCTGCCTCTGCCTCTGTCGACTCTAGGGGAAAAGCGCCGCGCTGTGTGTGGAAAAATGCTGCTGATGGAGAGCTTTCATTCCTAATTGACACTTTGAAGGGTTAAGGATCGATTTCGGGAAAGGGAATTTCCCCAGTTCTAGGAAAAAGGATCCCTCTGGGGAAGGGGGAGTAGTTCCTACCCGAGAGCAGTGATTCCGGCTTTAATCAGAGATTCCTCTTTTGCTCGCTTTATCCCCCTCCCCTCTACCTCTGGCTGCTGCTGCTCTCTTTTATATCCCATATCCGTGGCTTTCCCTCTCTTTACGTTTCTCCGACTATTGCTCTCCCTCTTTGCCTCCATTGAAGCGCGCAACGGAAACGGAAATGGAAATCCTTGCAGGAGCGTCATTAATTAATTGAAATTGCAAGTGAAACTCAAAGAGAAAGGCAAAGCGAGGGGGGAAAGGGCCAGTAAGAGAGAAACAGGAACAAAGTTGGTATTTTTGTATTTAAAATCACGAAAGTAAATCCTTTTGCTGCCTTTTAAAGGGGAATTCATTTAGATTTAAATACAAACAAATTACAGAAGGGAAATGCAGCATTCAATTCAAATATAAAATCAAAGAAAATTCGTTAAAAATTGAATGAAAAAATTCC